CACACTGCCACTTCAGCTTACTGGCCCTTTGGGCTATGTTGATAACTTTGTCCAAACTTTCACGCATTATTTTTATCACAGATAGCTAATAATAACCAGAACTGAAAATTTCGACGTATTGTGAATGTCTACGATGCGTCGTCTTACGTAGCAAGTGTCTTAACCTCGTAGCAAATTCTTCGTAGCAAAGTCGGTACTACGAAACAAGAAATCGTCTTCTGGTTGAATAACTTTCGGAGTATATCTTTAAATAAAATAACATCACGCCTTTTATTCCCGAAGCCCGAAGGGATAGACAGAGGTGCATATTACGGCACTTAAAGCCACTGTACAATGTAACACCGACTTTCCACTATTTATGTTATGAGTCCCATGTAATAGGGGGCGAGCATATTGCCATATACCGGGCACAATTCCAGACTCCATGCTACTACTGAGATTAGCAAAAACAAAATCTAAAATGCTTATTCTACGCGGATGAAGTCGCGGGCAACAGCTAATGAAAATAAACAAAAAATACAAACCTGTCAAGATAGCCATATTGGTCACCAATGTCTCAGGAAACAAAGAACACGTCCCGAAGAATATCTAACCTACTATCTAATCCACAACTAACTACTTAAGTACTCTGAATTATAAGTTGACACTGCACTTTAAACCTAAACTATATAAAAATAACAATTATATTACTTTCACCCATGTACGAGACTAATAATGAACAATAAAGAACAATAATTTACTGTTAATAAAGACCAAAATTATAGCAATTCGTGTCAACTCCTTTTTTTGTTTACGTACATTAATGAGATAGTAAAAAAATATAATTGTTCGCTTATCTCGGCACGAGTGCACGTTACACCTCGCCTGAAGGCTTCACAACTGATAGCAAATATTTCCTTCAGCTATTTAAATAACGCTCGTTTTGTAATTAGGTCTGTTTGGTTTGTGATATATTTTTCTAATATATTTTTGTTAGAACGGCTAAATGAAAAAAATATGGTAGAAAAGCTGTAACAGGCTTCCTTGTACACACTGCTGAGTGGAATTCTTTGCCAGAATCTATATTTCCTGAAGGGTTGTCCTGGGTGTCTTCAAGGCCCGAATGAATAGGTTACTTATGGGACGACGTGCTCCATCGTAGACAGCATCATCGCTTACCAGCAAGCGATAAAAAAATATATAAAAATAACCGAGTGTAGGTAATAATTATCCAAAATCTTCTTGTAGAGGAGGTTTAGCCTATGTGTAGTCTTAGCAGTGGACTGTAATGAGCTGTCCTTGAAATTATCTTTAGGATCTCCATAATTTACGAAACGACAAAACTAGTAGGAATATTCCTGATTCTGATTCCATAACCTACATATTTGTTAATACATTTTGTAATAATACACAAATTCAGTTCAACGATTTCGAAATATATAAACAAACAAATTCAAATACAGATTCTACACTATATAGTACCTACAGAGCTCATCTCACGGCACAATTAATTCACTCTCTTATCAGAGACCTCGCTGATAACATAATGTCAGTATTCAGTCGTCACTGCACGCAGTTTTCCAAGATTTTCGGCTGAACAGTTATGCCCTTAACCCAATTTTATTAACCTTGGGAAATTTTCGACTATTAAGATATTTTAATCGGCTCTAGATTTTCCTGAAACCTTTACAATTAATTATGCGTAACATTTTTAACTTTCAAGTGTAGGAGAGCCATGCTTCAGCACGAATTTGCCGGCGCGAGTGATACCACGGCCTCACAGAAAATCGACGTGAAACAACGCTTGCGTTGGGTTTCGTCGTGTGAGTAGTTATCGGAGGCCCAATTACCCCTCTGCCCAATCCCTGAATTCCCATTTGCCGTACTGGCACATTGTTACTTTATATTTGCGATGTTTACATCGAAAGTACTCCTTGGCCTTTACCGCTTGTCTACAGAGAGAGTATAAATCAAAATGTATGGGGGATCACACTGACAAGTGTCAAAATCTACGTCAATTCCATATAATCTATATATATAAAAGAAAGTCGTGTTAGTTACACTATTTATAACTCAAGAACGCCTTAATTGATTTAGATGAAAATTGGCAGGGAGGTAGCTTAGAACCAGGAGACGGACATAGGATACTTTTTATAGAATACTTCTTTTTACTTTTTACCGAAAATCACGAACGGGAACGGGGGGAAAATGGGATTGCGCGTACGAAGTCGCGGGCAGAAGCTAGTCTATATATATAAAAGAAAGTCGTGTTAGTTACACTATTTATAACTCAAGAATGGCTTAATCAATTTGGATGAAAATTGGTGGGGAGGTAGCTTAGAACCAGGAGACGGACATAGGATACTTTTTACCCAATTCTTTTTTTTTACTTTTTACCGAAAATCAAGAACGGGAACGGGAAATATCGGGATTGCGCGTACGAAGTCGCGGGCAGAAGCTAGTTAAATTATAATTAAATTATATGGAATTGACGTAGATTTGATTTTGGTTTTCTATTCTACATGTAGACAAGCGCTAAATGGCATTAGGCTACAGTTGATTATGGCAGTAGTATGGTAGTAAAGAAAGTTGCCGCGAGACAAAAACGAAATAGATTTCACGGTGTATAGTTCGGTTCAGTCAGTACTACCTAATACATTTCGGTTACTTCATTCCTAATACATTTACATTTCGGTTCAATCAGATATCGAACCGAACTGTAAATTTATTAGGTTTTTCATTTCGATTCATACTACAAATATAATGGATTTGTTTAAAAATTAAACCAACAAAATTTTAATGAACACATTTTATTAATGTTTAATCTTCAATTATAAATCTATTAATCTAGGAACACAATTTTCTACATAATATACATACATACCTACATAAATACAATTAAAATTATATTAATTTTACTATTTATAATATCAATTTAATACAACCTATTTTGAATGCTAATTATGATAAATCATACATTTAATGCTCGATTTTAGACGGTGCAACGTTAAAGACGAATCGAGTAAATAAATTGTATTTATTTATTACGTATTCGATATTTCTATTATATTTTAGAGATTCTTAAAAAATCTAATATATTGCTGTAACTACTCCTTGCTTAATGCTCTTTCTTGCTTGACTTTTCTCAAATTACTCTACAAAGCATACAACTACAGTATACGGTAGTGTTATAATAGCTTTAAACATTGTAACAATATCTGCTTCCACCTGGTGCTCGGCTTCTACTGGTACTTTTTCTATAAATTAAGTGCCTCGTTGGCCAAGTGGTTACAATTGCGACTATCGGGCAAGGTTGGAATTGTGCACGGTAAAAAGTGAAAAAGTGAAAAATAGGTGTAATACCCACTTTTAATACAACTAAGCACTAACATAACATAACATCACGCCTTTTATCCCCGAAGGGGATAGAGGTGCACATTATGCCACTGTACCTCTACAATGTAACATCCACTTTTCACTATTTATATTACGAGTCCCATGTAATAGGGGTGAGCCTATTGCCATATACCGGGCATATTTACAGACTCCGTGCTACTAGAGAGATTTTTTTTAAATACCCAGTAATACTTTGCATGACCGGGGATTCGAACCCGAGAGCACTTGCGACCGCTCAGCCAATGAGGCAGTCCAAATAAACAGCCTCCATGTAATAATATAACTAAACTTAAAACTATGTACAGTTTTTAAGACTAGTCATGACTAGAAAATAAAAAAAATTGAAAAAATATTATTTACTACTGATTGACTGTCAAGTCTACATTTTGCGTGTGAAAAAAATGTTTTCCTTTTTACAATACGTACTCTATCCGATCAATAAAGAGTTAATACACAAATAAAATATGTATACACGGTTGCAACTGCAATAATTTCGTACACAATACAAATTATGTATCAAGTACAACAATTAGCGAAAATCCTCAACAATGCGTGTTTTTTTTTTCTTTCTTCTTTGGCAACGGAGTCTCCAATACGATGTTGTCGACTATACTGCCAGTGTCGGGTGGTGACGGCAGACGTGTTGTATTTCATTCAACAATACGGTAGTAGACAACTAGTCAAATTCAATACTTTTATTGAAACGTCAAAAACGATACTGTTCTATGAATTTTGTACGAAATACTAGCTTATGACGTCATCATATTTCCGCGTCAAATAGCACACTTATATCTAAAAACAACATAACATAACATCACGCCTTTTATCCCCGAAGGGGTAGGCAGAGGTGCACATTATGCCACTGTACAATGCAACACCCACTTTTCACTATTTATGTCATGAGTCCCATGTAATAAGGGGTGAGCCTATTGCTAAATACCAGGCACAATTCCAGACTCCGTGCTATTACTGAGATTTTTTTTTAAACCCAGTGATACTTTGCCCGACCCGGGAATCGAACCCGAGACCCCTTGCCCGGCAGTCGCACTTGCGACCACTTGGCCAACGAGGCAATCTAAAAACAATGCTAGAATAAATCGAAAATTAAGTATATCATGCAAATCCATGAATGGAAGTGTAACTATTTTTCAATATTTGATTGAACTGAAATATCAAAATAATTTATTTTTGACCCAGGAAACTACCCAATTCACTTGGCAAAAAATCGCGGGTTACTCACGTGAATATATACTGAGAAAAGCTCTACTAGTTTTACCAATAGGCTGCGCGACGTCACTTTGACCGCGCACGCTGCTTATGAGGAAGAACCCCTCTGTGGTTCGAAACTAATCGAGCTCGGTTCGACTCGCTCCGACTGCACGGTTGGTGCGGTGGCTGGGCAACCGGCTGCCGTGCAACGTGTCGCGGGTTCGATTCCCGCACGGAAGAACACTTTGTGTGATCCACAAATTGTTGTTCCGGGTCTGGGTGTCATGTGTATGTGAACTTGTATGTTTGTAAACGCACCCACGACACAGGAGAAAATCCTAATGTGGGGGGCAAAGTTAAAAAAAAAAAGCTTTACTCAGTATATTCACGTGAGTAACCGACGATATTTAGTCAATTCACTTCCCTTTCCTCTTGCCCTCCTTCTCTTGAAAATATCCTCCAGGTCCTGGTACCAACTTCACTGATGGTTTAGCTTCCTTCCTCTGCTCAGGGTGAGGGGAAGGAGATCCCTCTGGCGAGGAGTCTGTTATTATACCTTGGAGACGATGGGTGTTGGTTTGACTGAGTCTATGGAGAAAAAAATAGATAGAAGGTCATGATCATTGTTAATGACTTTGAGTAACAAGAGTTAAGGTTAACTAATAGTCGCGGGTTATTCACGTGAATATACTGAGTAAAGCTTTTTTTTTTAACCCCTCTGTGGTTCGAAACTAGTAGAGCTTTTCTCAGTATGTTCACGTGAGTAACCCGCGATTGTTAGTTAATTTAGTATGTCTCACGATAGTTATTATAAAAAGAGTCAAGGTATTTTTTTTTTTATTTGATGGACTGACATTTGACCACTATCTCGCCTGGTGGTAAGCGATGATGCGGTTATTAATATATTTGTTTAAAATGTACTAACTAGTTAATAGTTATATAAATCTTTAAAATTATCCTGATTCTAAATTATCACAGAAAATGATTAATCAACAAAATATTCTATTAAATGTTCCGATATCGACCCAGCATCTGTAGCCAAATGCCATTTAGCGCTTGTCTACATGTAGAATAGAAAACCAAATTATATGGAATTGACGTAAATTTTGACACTTGTCAGTGTCATCCCCATACATTTTGATTTCTACTCTCTCTGTAGACAAATGCTAAAGTGGCGTTTGGCTTAAGCCACTGTTCACTTGGGACTTGATTTTTCCTATAAAGTGCAAAACAAATGATGACTGACCTGACTTCTTCAACATCAGCCACTTTATCGATTAAACTCCTGATAATACCCTCCTTATGTTCGAGTGCGAGTGCGGCCCTCTCCAGTTCCCTCCGGTACTCTGCGTGCGCTAGCGCAGCTCGCCGCTCCTGCTCTACTATGCGACGTTCTAACTCTTCCAGTGACGTGTAGGCGCGGGATTTTACTGTCTATGTGTGTGTAATGAAAGAGAGAATAATAATGTTAAAGTATTAGGTAATATTATTCTAAGCATAACATAAACATAGCATCACATCACGCCTTTTATCCCCGAGTAGGCAGAGGTACAAAAATATGTCGTTACAATGTAACACCCACTTTTCACTATTTTATGTTATGAGTCACATGTGATAGGGGGTGAGCCTATTGTCATATAACGGGCACAATTCCAGACTTCGTGCTATAACTGAGAACTTTTTTAAAACCCAGTAATACTTAGCTCGACGCGGCAATCGAACCCAAGACCCCTTACCTGCCTCCCCCCGCGATAAATGTGCACCTCTGCCTACCCTTTAGGGGATAAAAGGCGTGATGTTACATTATGTTATGTACCTTAATCTCCTGTTTAATCTTGTCTAGGGCCGCCATGGCCTGCCTCAGAGGTTCGCTATTATTGTTCTTGTTCCGGCGCGCACTACTACGCACGCGGTTGACGCGCGCCGCGGCAGACTTCAGCCGCTGCCGGAATATCACTGCAGCCTTGCGGTACAACCTGGTCGACATGATAACATGCTCATGTAAGGTCAACACTATTTACTTTTAACCTTTTGAGTAGTCGCGGAGAACCTAACGGGGTACCGGGGCTCCGGCTCGACGTGCAGGAGAAGGAACGGGGTGGTTTTTAGTCAGTAAGAGTCTGACACTCCCTTCCGCCTCACCCAGGCGGGAGCAGTCATTCGATGATTTTCCCCCCTTAAAAAAACCTTTTGAGTACCGTCATTATAGACACAATTAAAGAACAGTAGGTTGCGGTCACCGGCGTCCTCGCGGTGTTTGACAGTTTAGGAAGTATACCTGAAATAGAACTATGGACATTTTGAGAGTATTTACGCTGAAATATTCAAACGTCACTCAACTTTAAGTCGCGTTTAATATGACGGTGTTCAATGATGTAAATGATGTAAGTACATATATTCATATCTGTCTGTATTGTTTATTTTTTTTAAGGGGGGAAAATCATCGAATGACTGCTCCCGCCTGGGTGAGGCAGGAGGGAGTGTCAGACTCTTACTGACTAAAAACCACCCCGTTCCTTCTCCTGCACGTCGAGCCGGAGCCCCGGTTACCCGTTAGACCTTCCACCGCTCGGCATCGGCCCTATTGGGCCCCATCTGTGGTGGTCTGATGGCTCTTTGAGGCGCGCGCGAAACGAGACGCGCCGTACGCTCGGGTCTGGTTCAGTGCCTTTAGCCAAACGCCACTTTAGCGCTTGTCTACAGAGAGAGTAGAAAACTAAATGTATGGGGATGACACTGACAAGTGTCAAAATTTACGTTAATCCCTTATAATTTGGTTTTCTATTCTACATGTAGACAAGCGCTAAATGGCATTTGGCTACAGCTGCTGGTCGGGCGGCGAGCTACCCATGCTCGCCGTCCGCAGGCCCTAAAAATATTATATACATCAATGTTCAACTTTACCTAACATTCTTCAATGCCTTCTCCAGTTCCTCCTTCAAGTTCTGGTTCTCGTGCACCAGCTTGGCAGACTTGTCTTCAACCAGTTTGAGTTGTTCCTGTGTCTTCGTGAGCTGTTCTCCTTTGCGGTCCGTCTCCATGCCGTACTGGTGTTTTAGCTCTTCTAGTAACCTGAAATTTAAGGGATAATGACAGGGTAGGGTATATATTATTTCAAGTATGACAGCCTCGTTGGCCGAGTGGTCGCAAGTGCGACTGCCGAGCGAGGGGTTTCGAGTTCGATTCCCAGGTCGAGCAAAGTATTACTGGGATTAAAAAAACTCAGTAGTAGCACGTAGTCTGGTAGTGTACCCGGTATACGCCATTTTTTTTTTATTTAATGTGCACATCGGCCTACCCCTACGGGGATAAAAGGCGTGATGTTAGTAAGCTTACTTTTTCATAGCATTTAAGTAAGGAATGATTTATAAAAAAAAACAAACATAGGTAATAGAAATAACGACAACTAATCAAATACATTACAATACAATTTTCGTGAGACATACTGAATTAATAATTATGTTTTTCGGCTTACTCACGTAATTATTTGACGAGGAACTCGACAGTGTAGCAGCGCGACAGTCGCCGCGTCGCGGGTCTCGGAATGCTGCTCATGAATATGAGCCTCTAGCATGGCTCGAAACTAGTCGAGTTCCTCGTCAAATAATTACGTGAGTAAACCGAAAAATAAAATAATTAATCAAATAATTCAAAAGTGACGTCATGCGATATTTCAAATTAAAATTCGAAAGTATTCGTTTCCGTAAGAAAATAAAAAATACGTGTCTAATGTTTTTAAATAATGTACCAGGCGGACATTAAAATAAAATAGTCATCTACCCTTTTCAACTGGTGGGTGGTGTGACCACGCACGGATTGCTTACCATCAGGCGATCCATTTACTAGTTTGCCACCCTTGGCCCTCCATACCTTAAAAAACATTTACGTACCTCTTACAATGATCCAGCCTCCGTTCATGCATATCAGCGGGTACAGTGCGCGTGCGCAGTACATCTAGTTGCGCCAGTTTGTTCTCCGCCATCTCTAGATTGTTCTTCACTACGAAGTATTCTCTATGTACTGTCTCGTAGTCTCTCATCATTGCTGACACTGGAATTGGGGGGGGGGGGGGGTTTGAAGGTTATAAAGCATTAAGTACAGCGATCATTGTATTTACGACCTTATATCAAAATTACATAACAAAACATCTCGCCTTTTACCCCCGAAGGGGTAGGCAGAGGTGTACATAACGGCACTTAATGCCACTGTACAATATAACACCCACTTTTCACTATTTATGTTAGGAGTACCATGTAATACGGGGTGAGCCTATTGCCATATACCGGGCACAATTCCAGACTTCGTGCTATAACTGAGATTTTTCGAAAAAGCTCAGTAATACTTTGCCCGACCCGGGAATCGAACCCGAGACCTCTTACCCGGCAGTCGCAATTGCGACCACTCGGCCATTGAGGCACTCAAAATTATATCAAAATTACAAAGTTCAAAATTTAATAAAATTTGTCAGAAAGGAGGTACAATAGTGGTTGAATTTTATTTAACTTAGTTTCACTAGGAAACACCATGCTTATTAGGTATGAATGGGCCGGCTCGGCCGGATTGATTTCACGGCCTCGCAGGAAAAGGTCGTGAACCAACCACAGCGTCGTGTTTCGTTCTGTGAGTGAAAGTTACCGTTTTTTCACGTAACTCTTCGAGGCTGCTCAACTAATTTCAAACCACGATCAGGGCTCATAATAATGAGCAGCATGTGCGGCAATGCCAACGTTTTGTTGCTCACCAGGTAACGCAAATGTAGGAAGGGGGTTTTTTCGTCCAATGACAGCAGCTATCAAATATTGGACGTCCAATGGCGTGACACTAGTTAATTCCCTATTGGACGATGAACGAGAAGTTCACACTAGTGCCATCTTCTGAGTAAAACTATGGCCCCATTGAAGTCAAGCAACAGCGGTAATGTTTCGTTCTCAATAAACGTAAAACTAAACTCTTAAAAACGTGACACTAAAGGCAAGCAGCCACCATTTTTTTTTTTTAAGGAGGATAATCATACAATGACTGCTCCCGCCTGGGTGAGGCGGGAGGGAGTGTCAGACTCTTACTGACTAAAAACCACCCCGTTCCTTCTCCTGCACGTCGAGCCGGAGCCCCGGTTACCCGTTAGGTTCTCCGCGACTCCGAATTGGCAACAGCCCTATTGGGCCCCACCTGTGGTGGAAGCAGCCACCATAGGCTCGGTTAACTCGAATACTAATTGACTATTGAGTTTTAAAACTATTACCTATGTAAAACAATACTTACTTTTATCCTCATACAATTCATAAACCTCCTTCAGTTTAGACTCCGCCCTCTCAGCTCTTTCAACAAGCGTAGCTTTCTCAATATCACCCGTCTCTTTCTCTACTACCAACTTCTTATAGCTCTGTCTCACTCCCACCACCTCTTCTTCTAAACTCTTAACTTTATCTGTGAGACTTTTGTTTTCAGTGACAATTAATTTGGACTTTTTGTTCATAGTTTCGAATTGTTTTTCATAATCTAGTATTAGAGTGTCTTTTTCTTGAAGGTTTTCCTGGTAGGCATCGAAGAGGGGGGCTGGAATATGAGAATACTATAATTGTCTAGTTTCTTAGGTTTAAAATAAATAGTTTCAACTTTTTAATGCAATAAATAATTTTAAAATAATCATACATTGATATACATCATCTCATCCATTGATTTGACAATTTACCTACCTTTTTCTAAGAATTTAAGGAAATAAGCATGCTATTTGACTGCAACTTATGACGTCATCATATATGATGACGCCCCCCTAGTCGGGGCTCCTATTTCCGACCGCAGGGTTTGAAGTAACTTAACGAATGGCATGACGGTAGCTATCAGTTCCCTCGCTCACTATAGTTTCATACCACTCTAACCTATCCGCCTACCAGTGCCTCTATCCAAACGCCACTTTAGCGCTTGTCTACAGAGAGAGTAGAAATCAAAATGTATGGGGATGACACTGACAAGGTGTCAAAATTTACGTCAATTCCATATAATTTGGTTTTCTATTCTACATGTAGACAAGCGCTAAATGACATTTGGCTACAGCTGCATGTCAGACTGTCATCAAAGTTCTACATTTATTGATCATTCACTACTTTTGGTGTTAAGTACATATTTTTGGTAAAAGAACTTAAGGGTAGAAGGGTATCAAAATATCTTCTAGTGGTCATAATATTTAATTCCTTAAATACCTAAATGCTTTGACTTTGACCACTCAGGAGAAAAAGACGAGAAAAAGTCGTTTACTGATTAAAGTCCTGTGATCAAATGTAAAATATGAAGCCAAAACAGTGGATGTGTGATAGGAATTTAGTTTGATACATACCTAATGCTTGTGCACTAAGTAGACCCGTGAGGTCCACAGTGCGGCCGGTGTAAGGAGTTTCCTCAGGCCCTGTCTTAGCCTGCCCGTCTTCCGTGTTCAATGTTTCTAAAAACGTAAACATGAAATAAAATAATTAATGCTTTACGTGGTCGAATCATACTTGAGACGAATGGGTCGTTTCGACCGGGGTGATAACAAGGCATCGTCGTGTGAGTGAAGTCAAAAGTCAAAATCATTTACTTCAATCAGACCAGAAAGGCACTTTTGAACGTCAACAAAAAAAAAATAAAAGTGAAGTTATTTGGTCATTCCAAGGTGTAGATTCCTATGGAGAAAAACGAGCAAAAAACTCCATAGGTACTCTTTTTCAATCAGGTTCACAATACAATTCTCTAGTTACATAGTTTTACTGTTTGGATTGTGCGAGAACAATGTAACACTAAAATCCAGTCAAAGTGATCGAAAAAGAAAATAACCTACCTACCTATAGAGGCTACCGAAAGACTATCCCTTCCCCCTCCAAAATCCAGCTATTGGATAATAATATGCCAACTCAAGAAAAACGGGCGTATTCCTTTTTAAAAGGCCCGGCAACGCACCGGTTCCTCTGGTGGGTGTCTATGGATGGCGCCGATTGCTTACCATCAAGTGATTTGTCTGCTGGGAAACAAAACTCGACTCCTTACAAAAGGCTGGTGACGACATTACGACATTTGTGCAAAACTTTTTCTGTTTCTATGAATTTTTTTTAGGGACAAGTCCTCCACAGCCTCCCAAAACCGCTTCAACTCCTGTAAGCCAGGATCTACAGCAGATACAACCATGAAAACACCGGAACACTGAAGTCCGGCGCGTCCCAGGGACATGAGTAACTGTCTTGGTTCCCGCAACGAAGTGAAACAGAAGATATTACAAGAGGAGAAGAAAAAAAACTAATGAATTAACGAGAGTAGCCTTAGTAACATTAGGATTTTCTCCTGTGTCGTGGGTGCGTTTACAAACATACAAGTTCATATACACGTGACACCCAGAACCGAAACAACAATTTGTGGATCACACAGTGTTGTTCCTATTGAAAAGAGGTAAATTTATAGATGTCTTTATAAAGCTAAGTTTCTAGATATGGCCACAGGTGGCGTTTTGGTTTGTCTTTGTCATTCCTTTTTCGTTCCTCCATTTTGATTTGTAATAGCTGTTGTTTTTCTATTATAATAAAAGTGTTGAAAGAAATCTTATTCAAATTAATTGAAACCACCCAATACCTGAATAGTTCCATGTGGGAATCGAACCCGCGACACGTTGCACGGCAGCCGGTTGCCCAGCCACCGCACCAACCGTGCAGTCAAATACTGTATCTATTTACCTTTATATCCCAGACTGGCAGTGAGCAGCGAGTCCAGTGCATCATACTTTTCTCCCGGCTTGAACACGTCGGGCTTGTCTCCGGCCACAGACTGTATGTTGGAGCGGAGACGCTCTTGGTAACGAGACAATTGGACGTTTAACCTGGAAGTTTAACAATTACATAATCTTTTTATAATAACTATCGTGAGACATACTAAATTAACTAAAAATCGCAGGTTACTCGCGTGAATATACTGAGGAAAGCTCTATTAGTTTCGAGCCACAGAGGGGTTCTTCCTCATGAGCAACGTGCGCGGTCGCGCAGCCTACTGGCTAGTGTTGGCGCTCGCCTCGGAGTTGCTACTTGTGCATCTAAGAACCCATCTGTGGTTCGAAACTAGTAGAGCTTTTCTCAGTATATTCACGTGAATAACCCGCGATTTTTAGTTAATTTAACATGATCTTATTTACTCTCTGTTCATAGAGTAGAGATATGCTTACGAAAATGATGATGAATATTTTTTGACAGTCAGATATATTCTTAGTATCTTTGTATATTATTTTTTCTGACCATATCAAGACGGAATAGACCATGCACCATGATAAAAGTGCCTACACGGTATTCCAGATTAAAATCTACCTATATCTGTATATCATTTCTTGGCATCCAGTAAAATCATTATAGTTACAACTAAGCACTAACATAACATAACAACATCACGCCTTTTAACCCCGAAGGGGTAGGCAGAGGTGCACATTATGCCACTGTACAATGTAACAACCACTTTTCACTATTTATGTTGTGAGTCCCATGTAATAGTAATGCCTATGTACTTTTGTTGCATAAAGTTAAATAAATAAATAAATAAATAATAGGGGGTGAACCTATTGCCAAATACCGGGCACAATTCCAGACTCCGTGCTACTACTGAGATTTTTTTAAAAACCCAGTAATACTTTGCCCGAAACGGGAATCAAACCCGAGACCCCTGGCCCGGCAGTCGGCAATTATATTACCTTATTTCATTTTTTTTGAAGGATTAACATCGTCCACTTGCTTCAACCGCCTTGGGTTAGGCATGAGGGAGTGTCAGACTCTTACTAACTAAAAACCATCCCGTTACTACTACTGCTCTTCAAGCCGGAGCCCCGGCAACCCGTTAAACCTTCCGCGGCTCCGCATCGGCCACCAACCCTGCTGGGCCCCATCTCTGATGGTCTGATGGCCCTTTGAGTACGTACACGCGGTACATTACCTGTATAGGACATCTTTGAGAGCCTGCATATCTTTCTGCAGGCGCGTGTTATGTTCCCGCGCCTGGTTCACTATTATCTGCCGACTGCTGCAGCTCATGCATACTTCTACTAGAGGAATAGCTGTTGAGGATCCGTGGTCTGTGAAAGAAAGAACATCACCTTGAGAAAAAGAAAGAAGAATAATATTAATATTTTCAATAATAGTAAACTAATATCGCAAGTGGGACTGCCGGGCAAGGGGCAAGGTCTCGGGTTCGATTCCTAGGTTGGGCAAAGCATTACTGGGTTTTTTATAAATTTTCAGTAGTAGCACGAAGTCTGGAATTGTATCCGGTATATGGCAATAGGCTCACCCCCTATTACATGGGACTCATAACATAAATAGTGAAAAGTGGATGTGACATTGTACAGTGGCATAATGTACACCTCTGCCTTTCGGGGGTAAAAGGCGCGATGTTATGGTATGCAAACTAATTCATACTCAGTATCAGATAAGCAATAAGTTATGATTTCCAGTGTCCAAATGTCAAGTTGCTCCCAACCCCCAATTAAAATAATAGAAAAAACTAAGAAAAAAGTATTAAAAGCAGAATCAAAACTGCTGAATAAATAAATAATTATAAACTGTCTTTCTTTTAAGGGGGGAAAATCATCGAATGGCTGCTTCCACCTGGGTGAGGCGGGAGGGAGTGTCAGACTCTTACTGACTAAAAACCACCCCGTTCCTTCTCCTGCACGTCGAGCCGGAGCCCCGGTTACCCGTTAGGTTCTCCGCGACTCCGCATCGGCATCGGCCCTGTTGGGCCCCATCTGTGGTGGTCTGATGGCTCTTTGAGTCACGCGCGGAACGCGACGCGCCGTATACTCGGGTCTGGTTCTGGTCGGGCGGCGAGCCACCCATGCTCGCTGTCCGCAGCACTGCACGGTGTTTTTGCTTTGCACCATGCAAAAAATGCCGGGCATGCAGCGCGTTTACAGTTTATTTATATTGAGGTTATAAAATATGTCATAGGACATACGATTTACAGTTCATATTTAAATACTAGGTTGGAGCCGTGCTGGAGCCGTGCTTGTTAGGTGTGCGATGACCTTAATGTTAGGTCTTAATTAAATTGTTTATTTTATTTAATTATTCTTTTGTCCTAGAATACTTAAATAAAATAAACAATTTAATTAAGACTAGACTAGACTGACCGATACCTAAGTAAGGCAAGCGTTCATTGAAGTTTCTCACCTCTATCAGGCAACTCATACTGCTTAACTTTCTCCTGCAACTCCTTTACTCTCCCATCTAATACTCTATTCCTCTCCCTCTCTTCTTTGATAACCTTCTTGCATTCTTCTGCATATTTCACTACAGTCTCATACTGACTGCGCAATTGATCGTTTTCTTCTGCGAACAACTTGTTATATTCTAAGACGGATTTTAATTTCTCCTTCAATTTGGCTATTTGGGAGTCCTTTTCAGAAAGCTGTGGAGAGAAAATGTATTATATTAGGACTTATAATTAGGATTAGGTGAGTAGGTAAATGACTTTGTGGTCCGGAGGTTTAAGACGCCCGCTTCTTATGCCTGAGATTGCATGTGAGCGCTCGAAACCTACCAACGGCAACTACCAATGTGACTTTTTCCGAGTTATATGTACTTTCTAAGATTATTTAGACACCACTGACAAACGGTGAAGGAAAACATCGTGAGTCTAATTATAATTTTGAAATCGCCGAATGAGCTTTTCTCCATGTGAGAAGAGGCCTTTGGTCAGCAGTGGGCATTAATAGGTTTTTTTTCGATGAATAGGTAGCTACATAGCTATATTCGCACTTCCGACTATATGAGACTTACAACGAATCTGGTGAGAATAACCAGACTGCATAATTGCTGACTTGGTTTTTCTTTTAATTTTGGTACCTAACTTATCCTAGTTTCATATAATTAATAGATTAGCATGAGAAAGCATTTTCTTGTCATAAAAAAAAACTTGGATTTTTTGGAAAATCATCGAATGACTTCTCCCGTCTGAATTACTGACTAAATACCACCCTGTTCCTTCCCCTGCACTTCGAGCTGGAGCCTCGGCAACCCGTTAAGTTCTCCGCGGCTCCGAAAAAAAACTTGGATTTAAACTACCTATAAGATTTTGGTTCTACCATTAATTAATTAAACTTACCTGAACAACATTTTCTTCACACCGTTCCATCAAAGAAGTGACGAGTTGTTCATATTTCTTCGTTAATTTTCTCTTCTGCTCTTTCAGAAGTGACTTGCCTTCTTTTGAAGATCTTGGAGAAGAGACTGCTATACCTTGGATGACCCTTTTTCTTGGAGGTTTCGCTGGTTTCTCCCCTAGAATTTGGAAAAGAATAATCTGAATAATATTAAAAATAAAAAATTACCTTTATTGCCAGACTTCTAGCAATGTATAACATCTTTTGAGAATTCTAGGAAATGGTATTATAATTCTGTCAATAACAATGGATTCAATAACACTGCACAGTGAAGTATGGAAATCAAAAATCTATTTACAATTGGCGTTTCTTCTCAAAAACTGATAAAGATGTTTAATTATTTTAGGTGTGACGCAATGTTTTGTTCAAGAATGTAATTAAACTGCTGAATTAATTTATTTTATTTCAAGTAGCATTTATCTTCCTTTAGTTTGCTGTTTTTTAATATTTTATGGGACAACTTTGACCACTATCTCGCCTTGTGGTAAGCGATGATGCGGTCTACGCTGGAGCATGTCGTCCCATAAGCAACCTATTCACTCGGGCCTTGAAGACTCCCATGCCCTTCAGGATATACAGATTCTGGCAAAGAATTCCACTCTTTAGCAGTATGCACAAGGAAGCTTGAAGCAAAGCGCTTCGTGCGTGTTGGTGGAACATCTAAATAAACAAGATAAATTAAAAACTCACTCTCACCAATAACATCTCTCGGATCCTCATACATAGGATTTTCATCAATAAAAACCTTTTGCTCCCCCATCCGAGACTCGGTCCTCCGTTCAACCATATCCAGTATATCCTGACGCATGCTTGCTCTTCGCAACGGTGCCGATATATTAAAACTTTTGTATTTATGTGTAAAATTTCCTGTTAGAGTTAGTTTCTTTGGTGAGAATGCCGCTGTACTTTCCTTTGATATTCTACTGTAATTAGCTGGCTGGAAGCAAACATAAATAATGAGTACCTATTTAAGTTTTTATGGAACAGGGACTAACAAGCAGGCAGATCACACGCAAAACAAGAAGATTTATTGCGGTTTGTTTCTTCAGGATACTTGCATTTTGTTTTATTAGAAGGTAAAATTATTAAGGTCTTTGTAATCACTATTATAGTAACCTAAGATCTCCACAGTGGTAAAAGTATTATACAAACAACAGCACTTAAATTCATTGCACCTACAATAATAGCATATAACAAAATCAGTTAACTTCTGTTCTTAATCTCATTATTTATTACAATAAAACATACCTTTCGAATAACTTCATCCATCATCAACTTTGTAGATAACAGCCTACAATCCTAGCCATTTTAATAACTTTTTAATAAAAATATAAAATGACAAAGGAATCGGCCTTCAGCCTAAGTGATACCTTTATGTATCACACAAAGACAAAGCGTTAAGTAGGTCACTAGAGCGGTTCAATAAAATTCAGACGAAAATAAAACAATTTTCTCCCATTTATTGATAAAACTTTGATTTCAGTTTTGGCATTCATTGTATCTTTCTGATTGTTTTAATTACACAAGAACATACAATAATCACTTGAATTTATACTAGCAATTATTTTCATGATATTATTTTTATCATTTCATGTTACATTATTTAATTTTACAAATTTTTACGAATAACTTCACGATTTAAAAATGTAAACACCGCAGTAGTTTGACAGCTCGTTGTCATGGTGACCAAAGTGTGACCAACACAAAGAATATACTACTCTTTTAGTAAATAATATAAACTTAAATAAAATAAATAGGTACTCACTATTACTTAATATTATACAACTTAAGATATAAAAAGATAAAAATGAAATACAAGGAAATTAAAAGTAAATATTTACACAAAGCATCGAAAAATTCTTTATTTTTCGATGATTCTTTTAGTTATTTTACGTACGCAAATTATCTTCCTGTTATTTTCACTTCAGTTTAACTTTTGGAAGATACTCGGCATAGTGGCAATAGCTCATTACTTTTACGAACCATTTTAATATAATAGACTATATTCCAAAAGGATGGCAATAATACATATTTTAAATTATTCTCATCATGTTTCAAACTTAGTTAAAACTTTTAAAATGTGCTTCTGTTTTTTATACTTAACCACTCTCAAGTTCTGAAAATAAGTGGTTTTTAAAGATTTTATGAATATTCATGTAAAATAATAAGTCATAGCATTCTTACTACTCTGCCAAGGTACTCACTTTATAAAATAATTTAAAAAAATCCGATTTACTAAACGATGAACACGAATCTACTCTTTTAATAGTTTGGTTTCTAGTTTGTGCCACACAAAATTGAATATTGTATGTTCTTTAATTGTAAGTTCAGTTCTGAGTTCGAATAGTCGTGTATTGCTGATAGATAAAAAAATGATAAGGATGATAAAGCTTGGTAATAGCTATTTGCAACCTGTAGGTCAGTGTAGGTATTGAGTAACGGTAGGGTTCGTAAACTGACCGCACTTCTTACCATGAGTGTAATCTTGTTGTGCTTATAAAATAAATTTGACGTTCCAGATTATTTCATTAAAACTTCATTGGGTTGGGTCGGTGAGTATACCTAGGTACATAATAAAATTAATGTAAACAGTGGAGTAACGATAAGTGACCATAACGACTGCAGTACAAATGGCACAGTAATTTTATGTCATCCATGTTGGCAACATTAATTAAAATTCAAACTCATGTTTTGAAAACTTAGTAGAAAATGGCAAATATTCTTCTATTTAGCCATCTGTTGAATTTCATTATAAACATCATTTTTTATAAGAATTCCTAGATGGCACTGATAGTATCGTAAACAAGGCATAAGCTATCATATGAAGAAAACTAGTACATACGAGTGACGCAGTATAAACGAGAGTATTTTTAATTTAGTCGTATAATATCTAGTGTGAGCATGCGTGAAAACAGCTGAGCGATAGCAGCGCCTTGAAGCGGCGGTTGAAAGAACTATGCAGTAGGCAGTCGCATCATGTCTGCCCGCCGGTTCGGTGTATGATGCTTTGGCGGCTTTGATAACCTCTAAACAGTTTGTTGTTACTCCGTCCTCTGTCGGAGTTCCTTTGTAATCGATTTGCATTTGTTTTAGTAACTGCTTAGTTATTATTGTTAAAGTGTTGCATAATAGTGAATTATTCTAGTGAATCTTTCGGTCGTCGGATACGCACTTGCTGCCGTATCCTTGCTAACGTTTATCGATTTTCATTTTACAATGAACGTAACGTTTTGTTTACTTGTTATTCGCCTGTAATATTGTGTATATCATGTTCGATAAGTGCATATTTCGACGATAGTGTTGTGAATTGTGATCTATTCAAGTATGTGCGAGAGTTCGCGCGAGACTTTGTGTTTTGGATGACAGAAAAATGGAATTCGAGAACGATTTCAGCTTGAAAGAATGGGCGAAGGACAAACCTTTGTCCATTCTGCAGTTGGACCCGGCAGACCGTGCAGTTCTAAGGATAGCAGGTTGGTTTCCTCCCCCCAGTTGTAGGGAGTTACATGGTCGTTAATTAATAAGTTTTAATCGTTGTTTTTTCATCCAATCGGGTCACGTTATCGTCCTGTGCGATAATGACGACAGCTAAGATTAATGTTTGCAGTGTGAACTCGATAAAATAAGTTCCCTCTTATTACATTATCAGTGTTTACTTTCGCGTCACCGTTTCAGAGCGCCTAGCTTAACTTAGTTTTTTTTTTCGCGTGATCACGACTCCGAACGGCCTCGCATACCTAGGTTTTCACTTTCGTCCGATTGTAGTTTGTTTTTCATGTTTGTATTATATTTTTTCATAAAACAAACAACGTTATCGTGTGCCGGTTTTTTCTATTAGATAGCTATCTATGGCGAATCAAAGTCGTGCGACTTTCCCATGGCAGAAAGTAATTTAGCGATGGTAGACGTCTATTATGCCACCGGTGATACCAACTTCAAGATATTCTCATGATTTTGTGTTTTTTTAGTCATTTGTCATTGTGGATTAATTTACCTGACGTTTTTATTGTGACTGGGTATTTTATGTCTTTATTAGTTATCTACTGTTATCTTTTAGTTACGCTCAATGTTCACACGTGTGTCATAGTTACAAGGAAATAGAAAGGGGCCAGTAACCGATAGGTACAGACTAGCGCGGGATGTGGTCTGGTTAAGCCTAGTACATACTAAAAAACTATTTGAATTTGGAACGCTATCGGTCGACGAACTTCCGCAGTTTATCTATGGGACACAAGAAAGAGGAGTGGTGTTCTTTATTTTATAGACAAGACTTCGTATCTATTTTCTACAAGCAACTAGTTATCTACCTATTTCGTAACTAGTTGCAACATACATAGATACCGGTAAAATAGTTGTCTGACGGTAAAATCCATGAGTTTTTATCTAATGATTTATCAAATGTAGGTATCTCCAATAAACAGTTGTTAAAGTCCGCGATATATTTAGAACCCCCTTGACTGATAAAATTAATACACTTTTGATTTCTATCGTAACTTAAAATTACGTGCTGAAAAATTAAATTATATTTAAGAAATGCCTAATGGGTACGTCATAAATAAATAGGTATGTGGGTAATTCATATACCGAAATGACGTGCAGTTTAGTTTTCAAAAACAATTAAGAACACCTTCGTATACTATTAGAAACTTCAAAATGGTTAGGTACCTAGGTACATACTTTTACCGATTCATTTTTCGAAATTATCGATAGGACGACAGAGGTGCACACTACCTACTAGTAAAGATGTTTTACCATAGGTAAAATGAAAAAGACTTTTTTAACATTTCTGTGTGTTTTACCTATTTACCAGTCTTCTCTGTCTTTAGACCGACGAGGGCCTTAATTTCAGAATACGCAGCTATTATTATTGAGACTGCCTCGTTGGCCGAGTGGTCGCAACTCCAACTGCCGGGCAAGAGGTCTCGGGTTCGATCCCCGGGTCGGACAAAGTATTACTGGGTTTTTCATAAAATTCTCAGTAGTAGCACGGAGTCAGGAAATGTGCCGGTATATAGCAATAGGTTCACCCACTATTACATGGGACTCATAACATAAATACTTAGTCAAAAGTGGGTGTTACATTTTACAGTTAGATTATGTGCTGTAATGTGCACCTCTGCCTACACCTTCGGGGATAAAAGGCGTGATGTTATTATTGAGAATAATACCAAAACCCAGATAGATAGATACTTATCCATCAACAGTCGGGTAAAAAAAAACTAAATGACATTACCCTCCCAATCTGCGACCAATATATAAACGAGGTAAGTAATCTGCAAATCTACAATAATAAGCTGTCAAAATATTCGTTTCGTACTATTCGTAGGTACCTACCTAATTTTTTTTTTAAATAAAACCCGGAGTACCAAGGCATGAACCCGCAAAACTACCAGCATTCTTTGTTTATAAAAAAAGTTAATTACCAAACAGGTGCCATAGCTATTAGCAATCCTTATTTATACAGCCAGTCTATTAAGTATCCCTATTTTTGTCCACAACCCACGTAGCTACCTAGATCACCTTTTCTACTAATTAACACTGCGAACGGGCTTGTACCTGTCCACTCACTCCTAGTTTTAATACAACCATGCAATTTATTACGTGCATGTTATCAATATGAACATGGCAAACGCATTTAACCGTTACTCAATAGCATTGCATACAGGCAGGTGTGTTGCCCGAAGAATAATAACCGACTAAACCCTTAAAGTTCCCTTTTCCGCATACCTGCTCGTGCTATCTCATTGCACTTATAAAAAAGTGCATCGTTCTTACCCTTTTGCGCATCGCATGACTATTGTAGTCGGCCGCTATTGCCTGGAGGGTTCTAAATTTAAATTACCGAAACTTCTTCTAACGGGCAATAGACAAGAGGTGTTTATTTTTTTCTATTGCATTACTGAATATACTTACTAGTAATGTTGTGTTCGTACCTACCTTTTTTAACAAAATCTATTTTAAAAAGTTACTCTTCTCGCCGAATATTTATTTGCTGCGCCATCTAATGTTTCGAATAACTAGTTACAATAAAATAAACAGTCAACATATCACTAAAATTCATGAAAAACAATTGAATTTTCGAGTCTTTACTTTATAGGTGACTAACTAATCGCAAATCCAAATCACGTTTAACACCTTAACTGATAACGTAAATAACAGGCGGTTTCTTTCAACCCAAACTTATCTTTTAAAGCATTAGATAACCGAAACATTCTTTCATCTAATGCCTACTTCACCGAGACCTGACAAAAACAAAAGATACGACAGCAAAC